AAGAGCGTCAAGCGTATAATCGCGAAGCGTGCAGATTTAAAAGCTTCACTTTACGATAGATTATCCATTGACTATTTTTTCAACTGGTTCAAGAAGGAAAACGAAATGTTTTTGATAAAAGTTGGAGGACAAACACTCGTATATGAGCTTGGAAGTCATTCTTACCAACCGCAACTGATAAACGACGGTAGTTTTATGAACGTCTTGCACAACGTTAATGACGCGCAAATGAACGATGTCAAAGCATTTTGGAGTTCTCAAGGTCATTTTCTGATGACTACCCATACTGACGGAGTTCATCTTTGGGCTTCTGACAATTTCGAACATTTTCAATTTATCGAAAATAAAGACATTACTTCAGGTGTTGTAGGTATATCCAATTTCCTTTTGTTGTCTTGCAGCAAATCTACTGGCAAAGACTGCGTAAAGCTCAACTGTATGATAACTGGAGCTTTACTTCGTTCATTCCCATATCCTAACGACCGAAATTTAGAAAAAAAGGCTTTAGAGGCTGCGAAAGATAAATCCGGTAAGAAAACCCGTGGTATCCGCAAAGACGCAGATGTCCGGAAAGATAATATAACTCAAGAAAAAGAGTCTACAGAAAAGCCCAACGACTCGATACAATGGCCATGGACGTCGTTTTCGCCTTGTTCTAATTATCTTGTTTACCCAAACCAAGAATCCGTATCTGTTTACAAAACTAACGGGGTCTCCATAGTTCCATTTGTAAACAACAACGGCGAAAAAGCTGACAGTCCGCCTTACAAAGTAGAAGCTTATGATTGGTCTCGTTCGCTATTGAAAAACAATAATCCTGTGCTGATGCTCTGGGTAGCGTCTATGCGCGAAAATTTCCCGTCTAGTCTGTATTTTTACGAAATTCCTACTTGGAGGCTAATCGAATCTAAAAACATTTTCGCTATTGACAAAACTTGTCACTTCAACTGGAGTCCAAACAAAAAACTTTGTTCTTTAGTTACGCGCGCTGAAAAGAAACTGATTGGTCATGGAAAAGTGATTGAAAATCACATCCACATCATTAACATGGTCGAAGACAACTTCCCAATAAAAACTATTTTGACTGAGTTCAATGTACGCAGTTTTGCTTGGGCAGAAGATAAGGACCGATTTTGTGTTTTGCTCGACAACAGCTACATGGTTTTTTACAGTATTAATTACCCGTTAATCATCATTTGCGACCGTATTAAAGTGCCAAACGAAGTTCAGTACTGTACTTGGTCTCCTTTAGGCACTCATTTTGTTTTATACTCAAATAGCGTAAACGACTCCACCGGAATAATTATGCTTGGAGTTTGCGAAGAAAAGAAAAACAGCGATCAATACACAGTCAATATTATTAAGAAAACAGAACGACCTCGACTCAGCGCAGTTAAGTGGGATTCTAGTGGGCGTTTCTTTGCCGCTATAACAAGCTATAACCCCAACCACGCCAAACGCTTCAAATACTCTGACTCTGCTGGATTCAGTATTTACAACTTTATGGGTAAACAGCTGTACAACGAAAAGATTCAGAACCTACATAGCTTTAGCTGGAGGCCACATCCAGACGTAAAAGTCTCTACCAAAGAACTTAACCATGTGTTTTCTAACATTAAAGAATATTACAAGGAATTTGAAAAAAAAGACGAAAAGATCAAGTCAAAAATTAGAGAAGAAATTGCGCTTGAACATAAAAAAGAATATGAGAGCTTTATTGCAGAGATCGACAGAGCCAAACAAGCTTTAACACAGTATCCAGCCTACGAGCAGTGGCAATTAGACGAGCAAGAGTATCAAAGGTCTCTAGATTTACAAGAAAATGTTATTACTGAATATGTTGAAGTAAAAGTTAACGTTTCATCTTAAAAGATACACAGAATTTTATTTTAATAGTTCCATAATTCTCCCAATATTTAAAAGAACGATAAGGTATATATTTCATCGACCACACCAGCATTTTATAGCTAAAGCAGCAAATAATTAGGCTATTTATAAAAATAAAGCTATAAAATAAAACTTCTAAAAATCGTTATAAATGGAGCTTTAAACAACAATGAGTTACGTGTATTATTGAGTGATAATTTATATTGAGCTTGGGTACATGAAAACTCGTGCGGTTTGAGCGAAAGAGCTTCCAGACAAGTTTTTCTTGAACTTGGCCTTGACAACTCCGGAATTTCCGTGTGTTCCAATGATTTTACCCCAGACGCATCGAAGTTTAGAACCGTTCTTATCAGTCTTAGCTCTGTAGTAGTAAGCAACTACTTTTCCCAAGTAAAAATGAGCGTCTTCTTTGGAATTTACGTCATTAAGTCTCAACAAAACTTGGTTTGGGTGTACAGTAGTACGGCTTCGGCGGTAACCAAGAATTGTAGCTTTGACGTGAAGTCTTGGGGTGCGTACCGTGGACATTTTTAATTAACCAAATATTTTCTTTATACAGCTAATTATATATTTTCTCTAAGACAAAACAGGAAGCTCTATTTTCTTTCCGTTGCTCAACAGAAATAAATTTTAACTCGTATAATGTATACGTTATTCTAACTGACGTTTAAAGGCTTAAAGTAAACTTCTTTGTAAATGTTACGTGAAGAGTCACACTTTTCTTTGTATTTTTATTTTTTGTGAATATTTTTTTTACTCTTGCTATTAATTATCTTCATCCATCTATTTTAGTTTCCGATTTTTTTTTTTATAGTTTTCTCGGACTAAAATATTAAGAAAAAAAATCTCTTAATCTTTTACTAGTAATCTAACTTTTACATGGAATTATTAGTCAAAAGTAAAAACCATGTTGATATATTTGGTTTTGATAATCAATCAATCAAGACTATCAACACAATTCCCAATGTATATTTAGCCTCTTACAACGCGGATGGTTCTTTGTATGCGTTGATGAAAGAAAATTTTGTTCACGTGTATTCGAGCGATACGAACAAGCAAATTTTTGAACTTCCCGTTGATTTCTCCGTGGAAAAAATCAGCTGGTCTTATAACAAAAAGTATCTTCTCTTGGCTTCGCGACTAACAGTCTCGAGAACAAATAATTTTTGTATTATTAATTTGCAAAACCAAAAGATCGAGCTTACTAATAAATATTCGTTTATATCTAATCTTGATGACGCTGTAAGCATTAGTAACGAGGACTTATTAATGCTGGTCACTAACGCAGGTATTTACACATACGATTTAACTCAAATAAGCATTGAAGCCAAATTCATCGCCTATCCCTCAATTAACCAGTTCGTGTTAGCTCCGAATGTATTTTCGCAGCAACTTTACGCGTTTATCAAAATGTCTAATTCAAAAGTGGCGGGTATCTACTCGATTGACATTGAAATTAATCAATTAAAAATTGTTCTGCCGATTGATATTGCCGGAATCAATGAGATCGAAGCCAAATGGTCACCAAAGACAAATTATTTAGCAGTGATATTGTATAAGGAAAATCAGAACTGTCGCTCATACTTCGACACTTCTGGTATCAACATCTACTCGATGCAAAAATTAACGTCTACGACGTCTAAAAATGCATTTAATCCAGTTTACAGTAACGATGGTCCGGTTCACTATTTTTCGTGGTTGAATTTTCATAAAGCTTTTATCGGATCCGGCGAAATGCCTTGCAACATGGTTTTATTGGATTTGCACAACCAAAAAAACTCGCTTTTTTTTGGTAAAAATAGACGCAATTTTGTCATAGAAAATAATGATGTATGTGTCATCGCCGGACTTAAAAACCTTCCAGGAGATTACGACGTGTGGGATCTGCAAACTAATAAGTTGCTAATTACAGACAGATTCAAGTGTGCCACTACTGTAGAACTGTCACCTTGTTCGCAGTACATCATTTCAGCGACTACACACCCTCGAATGACTTATGACAACATGTTTTACATACATAAGATAAATGGGAAAGAACTGGTGTGCCAGAAATACGACTACTTGGAATTTGTGTTAATCAAACCAGAGCTTGCCAAACGTGTTGATCTAGACTTGGTCGACTTCACTTCAGAAACCACAATAAAACAAAAAAAGCCGATTCGTTCGTTGGCTGCGTTAATCGAAGCTAATGAAACATATATTTCACAGGACTGTAAAATATTGAAAGAGGCCCAACCATATATTCAAACTACAGTCGATAACAAAAACAAAAACAAAAAAACTGAAGTTAAGCAAGTAAAAAACTATCCCGTAGGGATAGATCCCGCCCTAATAGCAAAAAACAAAAAATAAAATTTTCAATGATTAAGTGAATTTGAATACTAACATTAACGTAAAATTGCACTTCTCATCTTTTTATAGACTTTTTACTAATTTTGTATTAATATTGGTGACTTTCTCTATCTTAGTCTGTTTCTAGCACATTATCTCTGTTAATTATCAAAAGCTAATGTTGCTTAATAAAGTTTACATGCATTAAATTAGTTATGTTATGGACTAGTAATTGCGAAGAGACATTTTAATGTGTTATTACAACATGCAGATCAAAAAAATATATGAATTCAAAAATAGAGCATCTCTGCACAAAATGCTACAATTCTCAAGTGAAAATCCCCGGGAACAAGATACCTGGGGGTTACATCTTAAATTGTAACATGAGTCGATGTGGTAAGTTAAAAAAAATAAAGCTTGCAGGGAGTTGTGAAAAAAATACCAGCACGGATGCTCAGAACCAAAGTCAAGGCAAGAGAAGAACTAGTATATCTCGTGTGTCAGTAGTAAAAGAAAAAATCATTTTGCCTGGTGCTTTAAAAAATGAATATGAGATTTTAGAATCGAAAAAATGTGAGTTAGGCAAAGGTTCGTATGGACTGGTAAACAAAGCGATTGAAAAAGCCACAAAGCAGATTAAAGCCATTAAAATCATAAATAAAAGCAAGATCGACAACATCGCTAGACTGAAAAGGGAAATTGCCATCATGAAGCAGCTCGATCACCCCTGTATAATACGGTTGTTTAACGTGTACGAAGATGACGTAAATCTGTATTTGATCATGGAGTTGTGTTCTGGTGGGGAGCTCTTTGAACGAATCGTGACAAATGGGAAATTGTCTGAGAGTTACACCTGTATTATCATGCGTCAAATTCTCAGTGCTGTGGCCTATTGTCACAAACTTAACATAATGCACCGAGATATCAAGCCTGAAAACATTTTATTTGCGGATAAATCAATATCTTCACCTATCAAAATGATTGACTGGGGATTTGCTGCGCAATGCTTATCTAATCATATCTTCACAAGCATCGTTGGGACTCCATACTATGTAGCTCCAGAAGTGTTGTCGGGAAAATACACTAAGATTTGCGACATATGGAGCTGTGGAGTTGTCATGTTTATTTTGCTTAGTGGTAGTCCCCCTTTTCACGGTAAATCAAACAAAGAAACTTTAGAAAAAGTACGAAAAGGAGAATATACGATGAACGCATCAGTTTGGAAAAACATAAGCAGTGCTGCCAAAGATTTAATTCGCAGAATGCTAGAGTACAATCCCGAGCGTCGAATAACAGCGGAGGAAGCGTTGAAGCACCCTTGGATGAACTTGCATGGTTCGAAAAATATATTAATCGCCGATCCCAATGTTTCAGCCAAACTCGGACAAGAATTAATTAAAAAGTTCCGACAATTTAAAAACAGTAGTACGTTGAAAAAATTCGCGATCGCTACCATTGCATTTCAACTTGCAGAGTGCGAAATTTTGGCGTTACATAATTTATTTACAAGAATTGACAATAGAGCTGCCGGAGCTATAACGAAAAAAGAGTTGCTGCAAGCGTTAAGGCAGATGAACATAGAAATCACCGACGAAGTGGTACAATTGGTAAACACAATCGATCTTAACGACAACGGGCTAATTGAGTACAATGAGTTCATTGCGGCTTGTCTCGATCACCGTTTTTACTCGCAAGCGAGTATATGTCAGTCAGCATTTAAAATTTTTGACGTCAACAAAGACGATTTAATCACCGTCGACGATTTGTATTCTGTGTTATCTCTGTCGACGAACAATGTCACAAGACGGGAAGTCGAAGCATTGTTCGAAGAAGTAGGTTACAAAGACAGCATGTCACTTAAAGAGTTCATAATGATGATTAGGAACGACGGCAGTGATAATAACAAAAGTCAGCTGATGGGAAAGTAATGTATGACACGGATATATGCGTTTAGGTTTGTGCAAATTGAATTACGTGGACAGAATTAAATTTTTCATTTTCTATATATTCGCAAGCATAATAATTTCTCAACTATAAAATATTATTTGTGCTTGGAGCAATATAAATTTATTATGCGACAGTGTTAAAAGTAAAATGGCTAACAATCTTGACTTGCTTCTGTGTCGAGACTGCACGAAAAGCAATAATGCTATCAACATCGTAGCGTCCAAGCTAAGCATAAAATGTTTGCATTGCAATTGTGCAATGACAGAGTACAAATGGAGTTTAGGTTCAAGTTTGTTCACGAAGTCAACGATAATTTGCAGTGATTGCTCCGAGTTGAAAAACATTTGCCAGTCGTGTTTATTGGATTTTCAGCAAGGGATCCCTGCCACGTTCAAGGACAATAGTTTGAAAAAAGAACACAAACTTTATTCGATTCCGGAAAACAAGGCTTTTCGGGATCACTTATTTGAACGACTGAAAAAGAACAAAAACATATACAAAGACGTGTATAACGACCCAGTTAATTTTCTGCGAACACATATTCGCCAAAAAATTGCAGAAGAAGCTCTCGTCGAAAATGTGGTTGTTTCTGCAAAAAAAAAACCAAGAAACTCCCAGTCACTAGCCTCGCTGCGCGAAAATTATTTTTCCGGGAAACAAAATAACTGCGTAGCGACGAACTTCGCTGAGGAAAAAACGAAACAAGAGAATGATGGACAAAATCGCTACAACGTTATTTTAGAAAATATCATCTCCATAAACCCGTTCCCACATTAGTTGATCTAGGATTTTTTTTTGACACTATTTGATTTATTTTTATTAATAACTTTTATATACGTACTTTTGTAATATAGTTTAGGCGAACTAGGAATTGATAAACGAAGCTCTATGATTCAGAAAGCTGCGATTTTGTGCTTAGCTTTCTTACAAGCTGTTGATGCGGCGAGAAATTACACGATAAAATATTCTCTGGATGATACAAAGCAGGTTGAACTCACCAAAGTTCAGATAAAAGAGCCCTTTGAATTCGAGCGAGAAGTTTACAAAATGGTGTCACTTTTGGAAGGCGATTCTTTCGAGTTTTGCCAAAACTTGGTGTCTCAAGACGGTTCGTTAGAGCTGTCGCTTTTTGAGGGCGATCGTCTGGTCAGCTCTTACAAAAGAGATTTGGACAGCTATTCAAACACAATTGATCTATGTAACGTGCTTTCGCATATAGACGTCACCCTCGACGTGGCTGGAGCATCGATTTATTTCCCGCTAACCAATGAAGCTAGCCAAAAACATCTTGGCAACGTTGAACTGACACCGTTGGTTCATGTTCAAGACTCGTAAGTAAGCTTGACTATATTTTTTTAGAATGACAAAAAAAATCATTGATACAAACCTGCCTAACAACGTTATATCCAAACGAGGGTCTAGTCTGACGACAATACTCTTTATAGTTTTAGTTTATTTGATGCTTTCGAAGTTTTTCTTTAAGTCAAAATGAAAATACGCTTTGACTTTCGGATAATTTTAGTGCAAATAAACGGTCTCGTAAACAGCTAACTTAAATTTTTTCGATTTACTAGAGAGTAGTTTCAATGCGAGCGCAAAGCGCCAAGCGAAACAAATATAATAAAGATACTAAGTTAACAAATAATACCGATCAAAGCATTGAAATTATGTATAACATTTAAATTCTCAAACCATGTTTCGTGCTATTTTTTGCCGTAAACAAAATTGTACAAAACCTGGATATACTTTTATAAGTCGTTTGGCGAAATTTTTTGTAAAAAAAAAATATTTAACCTGCTTTGCAAGCTTTTGTTTAAGAAAAGCTGTCGATTAAAGAATTGGTTAATCAATGTTAAAAAGTTATGCATTCAAGCAGCCAAACTTCATTGGCTTCTGATAACTAAAAAATGATTTGATGTGTGCTTAGAAAAAGATGATTTTTATACTAAGTACTTATTTTAAGTTTCAACAGCGAGCCGAAAATGTTGCTCGGATATTTTCATTTTAGTGTACTTTTATACGAACAACGATTTATAAAATGTCGTCGAGTAAACTCTTAATCTTGGGCACGTTACGCTTTTGTTCAGTATACACTTCGAGCTGATGCAAGACCTTGTAGTAAAGGTTCAATTGCTTCATACAAGGGTCGTTTAAGTCTTCAATACTGTTTTCATTTATGTAGGACTTAATTTTATCAAAGACTTTTTGCAAAGTGCGAGACATAGACTGAAAAATGATTAATACATTTTGCTTCACCTCTTCAGAAGTCGAACTCCGCAGAATTTCGTGGAGCTGTTCCAGAAACTCTATCTGATCATTTGAAGCTAGTATTTTTGAATCAGTCGTTTCCGTCAAAACGTCATTACAAAGGTCATAATTGGTTATCTTTGATTTAATCGGCTGGCTGTCATTAGCGTTGTTAATTGAAAACGCATCCTCTTCGTTGTACGACTGGGTCGTTTCAAATTTAATTCCTTTAGCTACCAAAGCATCGTAATACGAAACAATGGCAGAAATAGCAGGCTCTGCGCGCCCAAACTTCTCGATCCAAAAAATCAACAGTTTTTTGGCATCGTTTCTTATTTTGTGTACCCTAATGTCGGTCGATACACCGACGCTGGAATTGGACCAACTGATAAAGCGTCCCAATTTGCTTATTTGCCCTTTAATCGTTCGATCCTTTAGAGAGGTAGTCTTTATCAAAGCACCCAAGCTGCGCATCATTTCTTTGTTGATTATGCGAACAAACTTCAAGTCACAGCGAACGCTTAACTCCTTCAACAGTTGTAAAGCTAATGAAATTCTGAACGGCCGCGACGAATGTAGTCGTTGCTGAATCACAAACAAAATAACCGGTACGACGCGGTAACTGTTCGCTTCTATTTCGCTGACGAGCACGTCGATTTCTTTTTTATTGAGAACGTTGGTTTCTCCGTTGGTTAATTCTTCTACTTTTCTGCGTATGTTGTCAAAAGTTATAGGAGGGGGCGGATAAGCCATGTGCTTTATGAATTGAAATGTACTAGCTGGGTTGGGAGCCGTTATTTTCTTGTGATTCAACTGGTAGTTTACTTTGAAGCGATCTTCATAGTCAGGTTCTAAAACATTGCTGTGTACTTTTTTTAACGTTTGACTGATGCGGCTGGGGTTCGACGAGTTTTTAATTTCCGACTGTAGGTTTAATTTGCTACGATTTTTTTCGTCTTCCGAATCACTGGCAAATAAATCAGGAGCGTCACGAGGAATCATATCTGAGAAAACATGGCTCTGCAAAATCAAATGATATTTTAAAATTTTTTACATGATATAAACCAAAAAATTGTTCTAAACAAAATAGCATATTAAACCAGCCGCAAAAGATTAATATTTTCCTGTTGTAATTCTGAAGTTCACAAACTTAGGTGCACGTTAGATCTTAGTGGTTTCTGTCATGTTTACAGTATATAACTTATCGATACGATTGTATGTCATCACTGATTGATTTAGCGCGCAAACAAAAGTTCCTCCTGGCGTCTAAATATGAACAATTGAGTTCTAAAAAACTGGCCAGCAATTTAGATAACTTTGACAAAAATGTCAAGGTTGTAGCAGAAGAAGAGTCAAAAGACTCCCAGAGATTCAGAAATGTTTTCCACAATATTTGCGAGACTACTCGTTTTTCCGGTAAATATGATTGGAAGTCAAATACGCAGATGGACTTGAGCCTCGAAACGGTTGAGTCTGAAGAAAAGTCTTTTCGATTGTACTATCCGCACAGAATTATAGCTGACAGGATGTACTTTTCTGCATCGATAGCTGCCTTGAACGAAGAACAGAGTGCTAATCTAGCTTTTGATCCTCAGTTGAAAAGAAATTTGTTACAATCTAAATTGATCCATCTCCAAGCGCTCAACAAAGACTTAGAATCAATTCTAATGAATATATTAGATAAGGCTCACCAATACACCAACAAAATGTAAGTATAAGCAACACTTAATGTTAGCGACAACGTATCTTTTCAAGAATACTATCAAAATCTCAAAGCTGAAAATTTCTTAGAGCCATATGCGCGTAAGTTTTTCACGTTCAATTTTTCTAGATGCAACACCTAATTCGAAATCGAAGACTCGAAACTATGTCGATGAGAAAAACCATTTAAGTATGAACAGTTTGCAACAAAACTCTAGAAAGAAAACGTCCAAAGATCAAAACATCAATGCGGAAAAGCCACGTTTGACTTCGAGGGAGAAAAACGAAAAATCATCGGGCAAGATCAAACCAAGAAGTGAAAGGAACTCGCTTTTGTCATCGAAAATAAATAATTCGCTAGGAAAAACCAAATCAAAGCTTCTTATAGGAAATAATAGAACTCATCGGACCATAACATTAGATAAAGCTGGCACAAGCAAAACGGGGCAAATGAAATCGAATAATAAATTCAGAAATATAACGTCTTTAAAAGTCAGATCGATCAATTCGAAAGGATTTATTCGCAATTTCGAAAACTTGTGCCGTCTTAGAACTGCAAATACGGGCTTTAATAATAGTTTGAAAACAAATACTATTAACAGTCTTGTTAAGCCTAATGGTAAAATTTCTATTTTAGAAAAAAATCGGGGGTCTTCAAATGATACGGTACGATTAGTTACGTCTAACGAAGACTATGAATCAAAAAAAGACGATTCTTCTGAGGAAAGAAGTATAAGTCGAAGTTTCTCTAATCGTGTAGCTGATTTTGTTAACATGAAAGTATTCATCAAAAACGAATATATAGAAAGCGTCGATGAAATTCCGAACAAGCCAGGTTATATTTCGTTAAATTCTTGCGAGGGACTTATTTTAAAGTTTTTATTCTCGACGCCTAACAGCGACGAAGATTTGTACGATATCATTGCGGATAAACGTGAGTGTAGTCTGGTTAACAACAGTAATATTCTTAATTTGCTTCCAAAGAATTATATCAAAGAATCTAACTTGAGATTCGAAAAAATCAGAGATAGATACACCATTCTAGCACTTTACCAAAAGTTTTACAAGGTACTCGACATTTCGCGACCAAGCTTTTACGGATTGGTAGACGCGTACGTAAACCAGTTTGAAAACGTTGTAAATCAAAACGAGAATTTTAAGTTGTCGAGCACATTACTGCTGCTGCGTATTGGAACTTATTATCCCCGGATTTACGGACAGAAAATTATTAACTCTGTGTACAGACTATTTTCGTATTTTCCAAAGTTGTGCATGAACAGTAATGCTGACGTAAATCAGTTTGTGAAGTATCTAGTAGTATATTATACAATAGACGTGCCGGTTATACATAGCAAACTAACGTGTATTCTCAATTTGTTTAGCCGCTACTACGAAATATCGATTTCGCGAGCAGTTCAAGAATATTTATTTTCCACATATGTAGCTGGAGCTATAGCAAACGATGAAACAGACGGACAAAATTATGAGGCGTACAAATATGCCTTGCTTCTCACTTTTATTGTAAAGGCTGTGTATAAAATCGAAACACATACGTGGATTCTGCAAACAGCTTCTTGGAATATAGTTTTGATTTTGCTTGAAAAAATGCTTAGACCTGCATATATTGAGACTAAACTGAGCTTTCCATCCGAGATTTACACCGAAAACAACATGCCTATATTATCTCCGTTTACTGAAAACAAAGGCCAGTTAGTTAGCTACATTTCAGATTGGATTTACATTCTAATAAAACGAATTGAAGAGGTCCGGTTTTCCGACTTGAAAACACAGGAATTTTTGTTTCTCAACCGGATTTTGTATTTGGTGTTGCGCATGGGTTACGACATATCTGAGATCCCTCTGGTGGTCGAACTGTGCAAGATAGATCCTGAACTAGTACTTTCTTCAGAGTACGCTAACGATTTTCAGTTCTATTTAACTGTGATCTTCTATCAAAGTTTCTATTCTATTCCGAATTTCAATTTCGACATAGTAGACATAATAATTGATCCGCCGTGCTGGATGTCTTACGACATTCGAAACGAAATTTTGTTGTATTTGGTCAAGAATAATCCAAACTTCTTTGGTTTGCGTATTTATCTGTTTTTGATCAAGTCAGTATTGAACATTTTGCCAGACAAGTTGCAGCGCTGTATTACCACAGTGGTTGTGTTTTGCAGTGTGCATTATTTTTACCCAGACGAAATAGCCAGTTATAATGATCCAAACGTAATCAAATTAACTCTGGAATTGTATAAGGCGATTGCCGAAATTGAAAACTTCAATTTCGAACTAGGGCCGTCGCTATTTTGGATACTTGAGTTTTTTTTGATATGCAACAAAAAACAGTTCGATTTATTATATAAAAAGTATAAAAAATATCTGACAAAATTCGATGAATTTTCCATTTTCAGCCAATTTCACGAATTAGCGTAAAAAAATAAATTAATTTTAAACGATCAAAATTGAATTGCACTGAAAGATGAAATGCCTATACGGATTACAATTTAAAGTTTTTATTTTGATGCTTGGCTGTGCTGGATTGACAAATGCGTTTAACTTAGCAAAACTATTTAGCAGCAAAAACACTAAAATAATGAAAAACGTTATGAATGCTAGCGGAACTGTAGTGGGAGCTTTAAGCGGAGACTCCTGCATCTCGTCGTTTCATTTTGAGTCAAAACGCGGGAAAGAAGAAGATGACTACGTTTTCCATTGTAGACCAGGTTGATGGATCGTCGGTCAAAATAAAATTTTCATAAATTAATTTTGAATTAAATTTTTATTTTACACACTAATAACTCAAAAGCTCTTGAATGACAGGGTTATCACCTCAAGCACAGGAATATATTTGCTCATTAAACGGTTATTTGATAAGAAATACTATAACTTGTTTAGACTTGGATCGCGCCAAGCAGGAAGCGGATACAAAAATGCAGAACGCCCTGAAAGAAAATCCAGACAGCTTCAAAACCGACGAATATCAAGAAGACTACAAAAAGTCTCTGAATTTGATATTGAACAAAGTTAGCCTGCTTCAGCAATCACTACACTTTGTAAAATACGCTGAAGAATTGATAGTGTCCGCTAAGAGTTATTGAGGCTAGATTTCAAGTCCTTAAACATGTCACAATGTTTTTTTATTGGTTATCCATGGAATCTATCTTCATATAGATTCCATAATTTTAATAAATAAATATTATAAAGTAGCATTAAAAATACAGATAATTAGAAACGCATAAAAAAGACTTGAGATGTGTCTTAAGTATTGACTTACATCAGGTTAGAAGGTTAAAAATAAAACTAAGAAAAAGAAGTTACTCGATAAGTGGATGAGTCAGTAAAATAAAATGCATCAGTCCCATTATGAAGGTTCAAACCGTGGGTCTGTTAAGCGAATTGGGTTTAAAAACGCTGTTCTGCGGACCTTCTACAAAGACTTTCTAATGAATTTCAATGATGAAAACAGCGGGGACGATAAAAAAACTTATTACAATAAGATAATAAGTTTAAAAGAATCCAGTTCCGAAAATCTCGTCATCTACATCAGTGATATACTTTCATATTTTGACTATGAAGAAGAATTTAAGTTACAAGGTTCAAAATGCGACGAAGCAATGGTATTTTTGTTGTACAACACGCAGTTTGCATTATCGATGTTGTACGAGTGTGTGCTTTCAATTCGTCAAGAATATTTTGAAAATATCAATTTCCAAAGAGATTTAAACAGTTTGTCTTATGCGGCAAAATGTAGGTTATTCTTACGCGATAGAATTTCAAATTCAAATAACATACCTGCCATTTATAAATGCTCGTATTCGATTAGACTGGTTTGTCCAGATTATTGGCCAGTCGTTCCCATTCATCAAATTAAGTCGAAGGAAATCGGTAGACTGCTTAAAGTTTCCGGGGTTGTTTTACAAGTTACTAATGTTCGACCCAGAATGACTGTTGCAGCGTACTACTGTGAATCTTGCAACGAACGAATTTTCGTTCCAATAGATTTCAACGTTTTCTGTCCGTTGACGACGTGTACTTCGACCACTTGTGTTACGAGCGGAAAGAAAGGCACGCTAATTTTGTCGTATCGCGAAAGCAAATTGGTTATGCAGCAAATGATTGTTATTCAAGAATTACCGCAAAATATTCCATCGGGTTCCTTGCCTAAAAGTTTAAAGTTGGTGCTGAAAAATGACTTCGTTCACGCGATAAAACCTGGGATGACGATTACCGTTAGCGGTATATATACTCCAGATTCTAAAGCTCGCGGAGTTGTTAAAAAGTTATTCAACACTATTGAAGCTGTGGTGAATGTCACTCATGTCGAATTCCCTTTTGACGACTTTCCAAACAATGAAGATTTTGAAAAACAAGACTTCATTAAAGAAATTCAACGCAAATACCCTGGTCGGATGTTATATGAAATGCTCGCCGCGAGTTTAGCCCCATCGATTTACGGGCATGAAGAAATTAAAAAGACATTGTTACTTCAACTCGTTGGAGGAACGAATGTTAACACTGGTGACAGTTTAAAAATAAGAGGGGACATCCACGTACTCTTAATTGGAGACCCGGGTATTGCCAAAAGTCAATTATTGAAACGGATAAACAACCTATATTCGCGCTCCAACTATACTTGTGGTAAAGGAACGTCTAGTGTAGGTTTGACCGCCTCAATTGTACGAGATCCATTGACGTCAGAACTTATGTTAGAAGGAGGAGCCGTTGTGTTAACAGATAAAGGAATTTGTTGTATTGATGAATTTGACAAAATGGACGAGAAGGACCGAACGGCAATTCACGAAGTTATGGAACAGCAAACCGTCAGCGTTAGCAAGGCTGGATTGATCGCAACTTTGAATGCTCGCACACGTATTTTAGCCGCTGCAAACCCGATAAATAGTCGTTATAACGTCAACCGGACAGCTGTTCAGAACATTGGGTTGCCAGCTGCTTTGCTGACAAGGTTTGACGTTGTGTTTTTGGTTTTGGACACTTTCGGCGATAAGACTGCCGACTTGGCGATGGCTAAACATATTTTAAATCTGCACAAAGGCGAAACATTTTCGCATGTGGGTATTAACGACATTAACTACCCCATTTTCTCGACGAACGATTTCCGCAAAATCATTCGTGCTACAAGCAGTGTCAAAGCATATTTGTCGCCTGAAGTAGTTGAACAAATCATCAACTACTATGTCGAAAGCCGAATCGAAGAATACAAACGAGGGCTTGATCTTGAAGAGCTGACCTACATTACCCCGAGAACGCTCTTATCCATAATTAGACTTTCGCAAGGGTTGGCAAAATTGCGATTTTCCTCTATCGTGGAAACCGACGACGTTAATGAAGCCATAAAGTTGGTTGTCGCTAGCAAGGAGTCGGTCTCCAAACGTCGCAAAGCGACTGCTAAAACGGAAAACAATAAAAACCTGCGCTACTACCAAATGCTCAAAGACTATTCCAAAAATTTATGTAACGAACAGGGTTGGATATTATTTGACGATATGTTGAATGCTACGCAAGACGTCATCAACGAAGACATTGAGCTTTTAATTGACGCCTTAGTTGCTTCTGGCGAAGCCATGTGGGACTCAATTGAACGGAACAAGTTTAGATTCATTTAGCTAATTGAATCTTGCACGGCAAAAACCTCGTTCTAATGTAGCAGTTCAGCTCAACACCAAATTTATCCCGAGAAAGCTTTTGCTCATCATTAAAGTTTGCAAATACGACCGCTGATACTTAAGTACTATGCGTATGTTTAAACTGATTTATGTTGCAAACTAAGTTATAAATAAGTATGTAAAAAATATAAAAAATTGTGGTAAACGATTATGATTGTTTTGGACTGCCGTCTTGGTATCCGTTTAATTCGTTGTGACTTTGCCCACCGATAGGCTTTTCAGTACTTGTGGAATCTCTGTATTTTTTCGCGTCGAGATTGTTTTTTGTGTTATTTCCTATATGTGTGGAATAGTTATGCTGCGATATAATTCCTGAAGTTTGGCCTGTGCCTGGACCTACCATGTATGGGTAGTATATTTGAGGAACGACTTGGCCGCTCGGATGGTTGGTGAAATGGTTGTGTGGATAGATGTGCGGAGCGGGCTGGTTTTGCTGGTAGAACTGAGGTGAAATGTTAACAGAACCGTTGTAGTGGTACATGTACGAATTTAGACCTGGATTGCCGTTGTTGAGGACTACGTTAGTTTTGCTGGGAACCTGTGGCTGAGCCGATGGCTGCTGATAATAAACGGGGTAGTCTTGTATGTTAGATCGCTGTAGGCCAGGTTGATTATAATAAGATTGGTTATAAGAGCCTTGCATGAACATTTGTGACTGTGCTTGCGGCATCACATGGTACGGATAATTTTTGGTTGGCATCTGGTTGCTTATGGTGGGCACGTTCTCCACGCTTTTGTTTGGCTTGAACTGTATAGGATACGCAGGCTGCTGATGCATTGTGCGCATAGGCATGTAATTGTAAGTGGCAGAGTCGGGCGAACACGGAGGCATATTTTGTTGCATATTGATAGGCTGAGTTAAGGCGTGGTTGTCGTAGAACGTTTGGTTGATCATTCTTTCTGCGTAGTTCTCGGTGAGCTTTCTTCGTTTTTGAACTTTTTGCTGTATTTTGTTGACCTGTTCATCTGCGGACTGAGTGAAAGCCACGTCGGGATTGTTTTGGGGAATTACGTGTGTCGCTGGGGAGCTTGCCTCGTCCATGGGATTTTCTTCTTCTTCAATAGTCATCGAAGCTGCGCTTTCGGTGTTGTCTGAATCGTTTTCGTCCGAACTGGCAATATTGACCTCTGTAAAGTAGCGAGGCGTAGCGTTGCGCTTCATACGCTGTTTCTTCAGACTCTGTGACGCTTCAGCGTTGCCGTCTTCGTGCTGAATCGAGTCGTTGGCGATTTTTTCCAGCGCACGCGCTGTCTTCTTTTTGTTCGAGTTAAGATTTTTTTCGCTAAATGTTTGCTTTTCTTTCTTCTTGGAGAAAATAACGCAATCGCCGAGCTCGGCTTCAGCCATCAGCTTGTAAAACAAAGCATCTATGTTTTTTTGAAGAGATTTGCGAACGCCCAAAACGTTTGAAGTGGTTACAGCTATGTCGTCGGGCAAAAGCATGGGGTCCTGTTTGTTTAACAGGCCGATCAATTTTTCCATCTTCGAAATACGATCAGCGTATTCTTTTTGCTCATCTTCAGTCAACGTTTCACAGTGCCTTCGTAAATGGTTGCGACTGGTGACACCACACTTCGGACAAAAGCATTTTAAGGTGGTTTTTTTACCAGCTTGAGACTCTGCCGCCAAGTAGGCTGAAGAAGTTTTGTCTTGTTCTTTGTCCTGTATTTCTAACTTCTCAAACAGTTCTTCCTCAGGAGACTTTACTACATCCGTAGCCTCGACTTTAGGGGCGTTTTCGTCAGCCTCGTCTGTGATAAAGCGCTTCTCAACTTCGGCCGGAAAAGGACAAACCGACGCTTCGTGACCGGGCAACTTACAGTTTTCACAAACTTTGAGAATTTCTCGAGGCATTTTTATCAGTTGTGGTCTACTAGGTTTAGACTTATCGTCCTCAGCGCGTTTTTCCTCTGGTTCACTAGTTATTTTTTGCGACTTCTTTTCTTCTAAAGCGTCTAAAACTACTTTTGGATACAGTTTTTCGAAACCTGCCTTGATGGCGTTTAGTAAATCCTTGCCTCGTTCTTCGATCTGACGCTTACGAGCAAAAAAACGCTTTTTGTTGTCGCCAATTTTTTTGTAAGAAGTAGTAACAAGATCACCCACGTCGAGGGAGTCGTTCGCTTTGTTCTTGTTCTTTTGTTTGCCAGCTTCTTGCCTGGTCTTTTGTTGTAGTTCGCGACGAACTTGCGCTTCTTTTTCCATCTGTTGCTTAGACAGCAATTGTCTGCGTTGCTGTTCTTTGATGGCTTTACATTTTGAACACAAAAAGAGAACCAGTTTATCAGAGTTAACTTGATAACCACGACGAGTGAGGTCGGTAAAGTACGTGGCTGAAGGCGTGTATCGCCTATATTCAGGAGGGAAACAGTCAAAACAAAAAGTAGTCGGACATTCTGCACAATTGATTAACATTCCTCCCGCTTGCGAGCCTCGTCTGAAACATAAACAACATTCGTGCCAACTACAAATCCACGTTTTGCGAGGCGGCTCTGTCATTTCTAAACAACCAGACATGTGGTACACTCGTGGACATCGATGACAAGGTATCAGAGGGTCGGCGTTAGTGTCAAGACTGTTGTTTCCACAGCCACACTTGAAACACTTTTTGTCGTGTATAATGCGTTTATTAGTCTTTTTCTTTTCAGTAACTTGACTTATGTTAGTTAAAACACGAACTTTTCGTCTTAACGGTCGAAGCCGTCTTTCTTCTAATAATGGTATGCCTGATAAGTCGTTTTTAACCTCAATTTCAGAGTTGGGAACAGGTGATATCGGATTTGTAGTGGCGTTCGATTCGCTGTCATAACTAGTCTTCTGAGTGTTGGTGTCGGAGTGTTCGTTCATGTCTACTGATTCTGAAGCTATGTTTTCGTCGTAATCGTCGTTCATGTTAAAGTCGACCACAATGTTTTCGCCTTCTTTAGACTCGTATAGCAAATCTTCGTTTAGCTTGATCATATCGTCTAACATCGGCAAGCTCCGTCTTTTGCGCTGCATGATGTCGGACAGTGAAAGGTCTGCGATTGATTCGGGCTCGTTTACAACTGTTTTAATAGCCTTTTTCCCGTACTGTAAGAGTTTTTTAATTTCTTCCACATTCATTTTGTTGGCAGATTCGTCGTTTAATTCTTCGTCTGAACAGTGTTCCACGTTAGCACGGTCTGTTTGTCCACAAGATTTGATCAAAATTTTGTCTAGTTTCATTTTTTGCATACGTCTGAACGCCATTCGTTCTTCGATCGTCCATTCGGTGATAAGCTTCCAGACGTGTACGTCTCTCATTTGACCGATACGGTGTGCTCGGTCAATGGCCTGCAAATCTATGAAAGGGTTCCAATCTTCGTCAAATAAAATAACGTGGTTGGCCGTTACTAGATTGATACCGACTCCCCCTGCTCGTGTACAAATCAGGTAAGCGAGATGGGTGGAGTCAGAACTGTTGAACTCTCGAATGTCTAATTCTCTAATCATTTTGTTCGTGCTTCCATCGAGACGCAGATATCTAAACCCACGGTATTTAAAGTATTTTTCCAATTCGTCTAGCACCAGTTGAAACTGAGTGAATATTAGTACTTTATGAATGTAGCGTTGTTTCTGATTATTAGTGTCCGAGGAAGTTACATCTTCTTCGTTATTTTCGTCTTTTTGTTCATTATCGCGTTCAGCTTCCGAACTATGAATAAGAATTTCGCCTTCGTGTGTTTCATCGTAATAATTCGCAGACGATTCATTATTGAAATTTTCGAGTACAGCAGATTTTTTAAGGGCTTGCATTTCGTTGAATGTGATGTCAGACATTAACATGGAATCTTCAAGCCAGGGCACTTTTTGCTCGTTCTTCAGCAAGTCGTTGTAACACTTGTGCGCCAATTCATCAACTTGTGCTTCATAAGCTTTCTGTTGTTTGAAAGCGAGTGCACTTCTCTTCCGGCGTTCGCGTTCTGCATATTGACGCGCTGAGTAAACTTTATTTCCAATTTTTATCGTTCCTTCAGAATCAATCATTTGTGTTTCTTCTGATTTTTTTATTTGTAAATCATCCTTTGTTTCGTCGTCTGCATTTGATGGAGTGGTGTTTTTAGGAGTGGCTCTGGGGAAAGGGTTTTCTGTAATATAATTATATTTGATGTTTTGAATATAAGCGTTTGTATATTCTTTGCTAAAATAACAATTTTGAATGTGTAGTTGCATGAGTAATTTGTCAAGAACAATTAATTTCGAACTTGCTTGAATGTGTTCGTCGTCTTGGATTTGTTGTAGTTGTAATGCTTTCTCGACAAGTTCTGCTTCTTCATTGGAAACATGGAATATTTCTTTCAGTTTGCTTAATTGGTGTTTAGAAGAAACTAAACATCGAGGGTGACAAGTGCAAATTCTCATTTTTATCACGGCTCCCAGAATTTTTCTAACTGAGTTCGTTTGGAATGCGGCTTCTCCTATTTCTAACAATTTAGCGTACCAATTAGCACCGGTATTGGACAGCGGAAGCCATATCTCGTGTTCAATTTTTCTCGGCAATTTGACAACCAAGTCTTTTGTTCTTCGCAACATCATTTGTTTTAGCAAGTGAGACACACTCTCTACAACTTTGTTATCGATAAAGTTATCTACATTGTTATTAGTATTAAGATCTTTAATTGAGCCGAAATAGTTTTTTAAAAACATTTTCTCAAACTGATCACTATCTTTCAGTACATCTGGAAACAGAAAGTTTAATAAAGTAATTAATTCATTAATGTTATTTTGTAACGGCGTACCGGTTAAAAGAACCCGCATCGTTGCACAAACCCGATCAAGGGAATGACGAATTCGTCCGCTTTCGTTTTTGATTCGGTGCGCTTCGTCGAGAATAAGACATTGCCAGTCAAAGTTATCGCAAAAAAACGATTCTTCAGTGACAGCGGTTTCATATGTAGTGATATAAAGGTCGTGTAGCCCTTGTGAGGCGACGGGATCGTTCATTATGTGATCTCTTTCAAATTTACTACCACAAAGTTTAACTAGTTTTAAATGCGGCACAAATCTGCGAACTTCTCTGGCCCAGTTGCCAACAGTGCTTAAGGGTACTACTATCAAGTGAGGCCCTGTGATTCCTGAAAATTTCAGAGCGCTAAGAAATGTCAAACATTGTATAGTTTTACCGAGACCCATTTCGTCAGCTAATACAGCTCCTGCGCGGTAAAAAAAACTTTGAAGCAGCCATCCAACACCGAGTTTTTGGTAATCCTTTAATACAGTACCCTCTTTTAGAAGTTTTCCTTTTGAAGCTTTGTAGGCTTTATTGTACATTTCGAGATATTCAGACTCAGTCTTGTAGTCTATCTTTGTTTTATCTTCGTCGTGAGTGTCGTTATCGCTCTCAGTGTCACTGTCAGCAGTTTTGTACTTGGTAAACCCAGAAAACAACTTTTTAAGCCGAGTATAAGCTTTGTCAGTTAAAAAAGGTTTTAAATCGTTGCGGTGAAGCCACAAAAATCTGTCTCGATTTTGCTTGCTAATTCTGTGTTGATTGCGTATGCAAGCTTGTATTTCATACATTCTACGCACCATGGCCGTTCGACTGAGAATACGATGAATATGTCCTCTCAGCGGATCTTCTCCTCTACAAATAGGGCATTGCCAGAGTTTGTCTTCGGATTCGAATTCCAAAAACTCATTGTCAATACACCGGGGATGAAAACTCTGATCACAATAATCACACTCTAGTAAACGGCCGTGTTTTTGACAAACGTAACATATATCGACATTTCCGCCGATACGTTTTCCATCTGACGATGTTTTTGTCTTGTCTGCATTTTCCTCATTAGAAGTTTTATTTTTTAGCGCGGGAACTTTTTCGTTTATTGATTTTGCAGCTTCTCCCAGTGGATCACACTTCGAACAAAACCACAAGTTGTCGTCATCAGTTGCGTCATATTCTTTCAAACCTAAACATTCGATATGTGCAGAGTTTGGACAGCCATCGCATAAAAGAATCCCGGTTAAGTCAATTTCTTCCTTCAAATTTTGTTTGGAGTTGGTGAAGAATTTTTTCTCACATAAATAACATACGTCGTTGTTAGTGTTCTTCGTGACACAGTATGGACAGACAAAGTCGTCTGCGTTACCGGACCATGAATCAGTCATGGTTAAGCACCATGCATGAAATCGTTTCGTACAACGTAATCCTAGACCTAAAAAGAATCGTTTAAATTCTTACAGTAAGACAAGATAACAATGTATCTGTTCCACAAAAAATTACTTACATTTAATGTTAGGATTTGAATCCCGACAAATGTGACACCAGTCTCTTACTCGAAATGACATTGAATAATTTTAGTTAGCTTGTTAAGATTGTGATAACAGTTTTAGTGTGTCGGTAAAGACATGAATTTCTTATAAATAGACTTGGAGTATTCGACTTTAATATATAATAATGCCAGAAAACTAGAAAAAGTACATCTTGTGAAGTTACTAAGAATTTTTTTTGAGTTTTAAGATATTTTTTGTTAAATCTACAGTTAGCAAGCGGTTGAAGTTGTACAATAAAATACTACAATATGTATGAATTAATATATTTTTAATCGATGGTTTGTCCACCATCAAAACTGTGCAAATTTACAAGTTTACTAATTCAATTAATAAATTATATTTACAAAATATTGTTATGAAATAATTTTTTTCGAAAAAAAAATTAATGTTTTAGATTTATTTCATATATTGGTGAAGGCTATTATCTTAACTTGTTCTGTTGTTGTACTTTATCTTTCTAGTTTGGTGGCTCTAGCCAGCGGGTCTTCGTAGCGCTAAGTAAATTCTTAAATTATTTTCTATAAATTTGTAATAATTGATAAATTTGTTTGTAATCTCTTCATTATGTTTTCTTGAATGTATTTATAACTATACTTAGACAGACGTAACCATGGGCGATAAAATTAATTTAGTTCCTACGGGCTATATTGGAAGTGTGGAGAAACCGTTTGAACTTTTAAAAGTAGGCCGTAAGTTTGAACGAGTTGAGATTTTGCAGAGGACACTATTCCGGTATATAATCATTTATATAATGAAATAAATTTGTTTTCGGACGAAACACTAGACAAGAAATTGGGGTTCGATAAATATTCCGCTGAAGAAATGGATGAAGATCTGAAAGCTGATATCGAGTTAGAACGTCGCGAATACCGCTGTTTCAATAGCAATATGAAAACTGCTCGGTCAAGGTACGATGCGTTCACCAAACACATTGCTGACTTATATCTTATTTTGGGCAGCTGGTCTGAAAAGCAAAAGATATTGCTGCTGAACCCACAACTACGAAACGCTGAACTCGTTTCTGAGTGTGTAACAGCAAAGAATCTCGCATTGGAAAGATTGGAAAAAATCAAAAAAGTATGCGACTTGTTGACGTCCCCGCCAGAAAACAGTGAGCTTAGCTACACGCAGAAAGCCAATTCAGTTCACCAACTAGCTTTGATCCAAGCAATGAACAAAGTTTCTGTAAAAGACGAATACCACGATATTTTGCTTACTTTGAAAGATCGTAAACAATTTGTTTCAGAACTAATCGACGAGCTCAACGATTTGTCGAGCAATTTAAAACAAAACAGCTCTGAATTTTACCTGGTCATGAAAATTATTGACCAGTTATCAAAGTGCTGGACAGTCACAAAAGAGCGCGCAGACTCCCAACAGTACATTTCGCCTGAATTAGACTATCCGTTTAAAATGGTGTTTTCGGTGGAATTGTTCTCGCTATCAGATAATTATTGGGGATTGTCGTTTTTGTATAAAAAGGAGTTTTCAAACATAAAAATGCTTTGGCAGTACGCTGACAAAGCGGGATACACTCTTCCTCACTTGACCGATGAAGCGTACGAAGCGTGGAAAAAAAACAGACACAAACGAGATATGCTGTTGCCATATGCGCAGCGATTTCCTTTGACCGTAATTCACCCTCTAGCTTCAATTTACAAGTGCGACTTAGCTCTCACATTGAACCGAATGGCTCAAAAAATTTCGGACCAAACTTATAATTTTCTGAAAGATTTGGGTCCGTGTTCTGATTTGCTTGTTCAATTAAAAAACCGCAGCGATTCGAAACACATTTTTTCTGTATATGTTTCTGTAGACGACGAAATTAACTACTATTACACCAAAGATTATCGTTTCAGCTGCAAAATATACTTGAAAATCTATGATGACACTGTGGTCTCAACTGAGAATTTATCGCGCGCATCAATTGACGCAGTTGCCACTAAAAAATGCAATAAAGTTCCGGTTAAAATGAACTCAGAAAAAGGTGATAACTCCGTCGAGTTCTATGTGAATTCCATTGATGAAACTCTCATGAATTTACAACGGATAATCTTGGAACGAGGACTTTATTACATCGTGCAAGCTCAATCGATGCGTTCACTCCGTATGTTAAATGAAGTGGCCGTTTTCAAAGAAGATTTTGAACTTATATATTCTAGACTGTGCAGTACAAACCACATATATGTACATAAGTTGAACTTCGCAATGGTAATTTATTCTCAGGGAGATACAACATTTGAATTCGACTCTAAGTTCGAAACTGATATTATTCCCGAAATGTACGTAAAAGTCCCATTCAACTATAAAAATTCAGAAAATAAGTTATTGATCGCATATTTGATTTATCCACTTAACTATGACATACTTTCTTGTACAGAAGAATGTCTAGCTGTCCGGCTGCAAAACATTTCAATTTTGAAGAAAAAAGAGATTAAGCTCCCCATGAGTTCCGAACTTTTTTCAGATCTGCCAGCTGTTACGTTACATTTTATGTGGAAGTCAGATAGTACAGGCAACACCGTTTCCATCCCTGACAGCAATATAAATATACCAACTAGCGAGAAAATTCGTGAAATCGAAAAACAAGCAATTCTCAAGCTTAGACATGAGGTGTTAAATTTAACGTTTGAAAAAAGAACCATAGTACCTTATAAATATATGGATATTCATCCTTCTTCGATAACGAGCTCGCTGGAGTACGAACCAGGATCGGTTCTATTTCTCAATATGCTAATGAATATCTGTCAAAGTTTGTCAACCGTATTATGGAAATAAACTAATTACTCATAAAGTTAAAGATTTGGTTATATTGAGATTATGGTGTAGGTTTATGATAAAAAATTTTTAAATAAGCACAGAACATAATTGATATTATTTTTCTAACCATAGATAACCTTCAGGGATTCCTATTCTAAATTTATTTTTGCTGCATTGACATTCAATGTTGTGTACGATGTCGGCTTTAATAGCGTTAAATATGGGAATTTGGTACTGGAAAGCGGAGGTCAAAGGGAGTTCTGTCATTTTGCTGAGTTTACTAAATTCGTGCAATATTGTTTGTGTTACGTCTGTAAATCGTTTGAGTATTGTATTATCGAAATTGTGTTGTAGTGAGGACCCCATAAACGGTTTCTCCTTATCAGATGCTTTACAAGCAGCAGTGTTGTCTGGTTTTAGTTTAATAGAATCATGTTTTTCTAAAATTAGAATTTGTGCTGACAAGATGGACACACTGTGAGAGTTTTCATCATTAATAGCAATGGGCCTACATATCAATCTGCATTCGAGATTTCGGTTGACTTCAATAAGGGGCAAACCCAATTCAGCTTTAAACACCATCGGCCTTGTAACTTTAGATAAAACATATATTGGATCTCTGCAATTGCAGTTTCGACAAGCAAATCGTTTTACTAAGTTGGATTTATTAGACGGCTGATTATTTGAGGGGTTGGAGGTGTCATGCTTTTTTTCTGCACTAGACAATAAATATAATTGGTCTGGATTAGTGTGAATGATAAAGCCAGGAATTTTTAAAGGAATGAGATACTGAAGTAACGAGAATTGCTTAAGTGATTCAGGAGTATAGGTGGTTTTTTCTGAGTATCTAGCAAAGTTAAGGTAATTTATAATAGGTGTTGCATCGTGTATATCTTTGAATTCACTCTGTACAATCGATTCTAAACAACTGGGACAGAACTTGGATGTTGAAGTCGCTTGCTCAATGCATAGAACTTCGTTTTCACAGTTTACCCACCCGCAAAAAGTGAAGCTAACCAAATTATCTAATAAAAAATTGATGGAAGGGCTCATCGTGATATGAGATTCATTTTTTAGCGTGCAAAAAATGAACTGAGAAAGTGAAGGTATGCCTGAGCACCAAAGATCAGGACCTAGTATTTCTTTAACGAGGTAGCTCGGTGAATACATTGATCCCCACCAAAGGGCCGACTGTGACG